GATAGGAATTGACCTCCAGGTCAATTTGCTGTGAGGACCAGTTGTGTCTACAATGGGAGTACTTCTGTGCTGGAGACACCCTTATGGGGTAGGACTTGCTTCAGTGGGGCTTTGGCGCTCACTAAGTCTGCCTTCTGAGTGTGTCTCTTATGGATGTGAAGAGTTGTAATCTGGATGGTCTCACTCTGACCACTGGGTAGACTGGCTCTTGGATCTCCGATAGCGGTGATGGCGAACCTATGACACGGGGGTCAGAGGGGACACGCGAACTGATTTTTTTGGTTGATTTTGCTTTGTTAAATGCCATTTAAATATATAAAATAAATATCAAAAATATAAATCTTTGTTTTACTATGGTTGCAAATATCAAAAAATTTCTATATATGACATGGCACCAGAGTTAAGTTAGGGTTTTTCAAAATGCTGATACGCCGAGCTCAAAAGGCTCACCATTACTGCATTAGGCCAAAGCTCTATCCACTGAGCCAAACTGGCTAGGGCACAATATTCTGACGTTTTAAATTACAATGCACTAAAAAAAAACTTGTCTTAACTATACTTTTCATTACTCTATACTTTTATAACTGGAAATATGAGAGTTTTCAATGTTGTGATAAAATAAATAATGTAAGCCGAGCCAGTGTGGCTCAACCAGGTCACAGTTCGATTCGTGGTCAGGGCACATGCTCTGGTGAGGGCTCCATCCCTAGTAGGGGGTGTACAGGAGGCAACCAATCAATGATTCTAATTATTGATGTTCCTATCTCTCTCCTCCTCCCCCTTCCTCTCTGAAATCAATAAAAATTTAAAAAATAAAATAATGGAAAATTCCTGTAACAGTTGTAATCCCCTTTGTTGATTATCAACATCACTTTTCAGTCTCAGCTTATGTGGTCACGGCTAGTCTCACACCACCATGCCATGCTGTCTACCTTCTGGAGGGTGCTCAGCACAGTACTAAGCACACAACACATTCCCAGACAGTAGTAGATACCTCGGATATTATTTACAGGAAGTCTTGCTAGAGACAGAGGGCAGAGCGAGAGGGACCCCAGTGACCCATCTCTTACCTGGTA